ATATATATATATATATATATATGTATATATACGTTTAATTTTATAAATACATTTTGTTATATATATATACACGTTGACTTTTGTTGACTGGGCCAAGCCGGGCCGGTCCTATAACCGGTTACATAACCGGTTCTGGTCTTAACCGGTTACATAACCGGTTCCGGTCTTAACCGGTCTCGTTCCTAGAAAACGTTAAAATCCATAATTAGTTCATAATCGGCGGTCCACAACCGGTCCATACTGGTCCCGGGCTGGTTCCGGTCCCGGTCCCGGTTCCGGTCCTCCGGTGGTTACGGGCTGGGCCGGGCCCATTTGGCCATCTCTAATAGGAAGTATATCTATAAACTAGTTAGTTACACATTTTCAAACAAAAGTTTAATAATGTTTACATCAAAAGTCAACAGCTAAGAATCTTCTAGAATCCAAAAAAACCAGCAGCTTATCCCATTAAGATCTTCAATAAGCCAAAAAGCATCAGGTCATTGCAGCATCAATGCTGTAGCGTCAAACAGTTCAGCAATTTTTTACATTAGACTCCACTTGGTGTAGAAACAAGTAACCCACATGATTTAGCTCCATAATAAAAAGAAAAATAAGGTAATAAAATGACTCAATATAGGGATAAAAAGAAAACAATCTAGCTAAGAACTTGTAAAATAAGTGCTTTCTACATTGAATTTTCAATGTATATCAAGATCACCAAAACCTGTTAAAAACATCTTTTGCAAATAGATGGATATATTTCAACAAAAGCTTGCAAATCTGTTTGCTACTCAGAGTATAAAAACAAACAGGTACAGATAATACTGATACATGCTTCTTGAAACCCACATTTCTTACTAAACACAAAATCCCAAAACTTCTCTTGTTCAACAGGTCAGAGCTCATCTGGCTCCACTAGTCAGAGTTCCTCTATCTATTAAGGACCAGAGCTTCCTCTGGCTCTTAAGGACCAGAGGCTCTGTCGTCAAGAGGGTCTCTAGTTGAGTTGGTCTTGTTTAATTTGGGTTGAGTGCAGACGCTCTGGTTGCTAATGGCAGAGGCTCTGGTCAACTAGAGGGACTAGTACAAGAGAAGAGTTATGGTCCTTAAGAGGATCCAGGGATAATAAGGGGAAGAGAAAAATATGAATGTTTTTCTTATGTGCTTATCTGTTATTTTTGAAGATTAACCTGTTGATTGGTATGTTTTGAAGATACATATTGTTATACATGTGATAGTACAGAAATATTCTTTTAAAATTTTTGGGTTGTAATTTATGCAGGATTATTGTATTAGTGGGACCTTTATGGTGTAAATTGTATTGATTTTTTATCAGTACATGTTATATGCAAATGTGGAGGTATGAGGTGTTACATAATGTTACTATTGGACATGGTTTTACTCCTTCAGAAATACATGGCCGATGATTGTTATTACCAACGGATTTTCAATCATCGAAGGAAAAATCCGTCTATAATCCACCACAAATCGTCAGGAATTATTCCATCGATGAAGCCTCTTAACTTTGTAGATATTTTAATATCAAAAGTTATATAGAATTTTTATGGAATTATTGTAAAAATATAGTGTTATTTGATCTTAAGTAGGATTTCCTGAAATGTTTTGATTTTCTATTTAATTGTTTCAGTTTTATTTTAAAGATTCAATTTTTTATGTCTATATGTATTGCGGGTCGAAAAATCCAATGTTACCGAATTAGTGTTATTACCGAATTAGTGTTATTTGTACATCTTTTTAATTCTAGATTAGTTAGCTATTGAGGTTAATTATTAATCTACTATTATTTTTCATGACATGCATATTATTAAGAAACATACGAATAACTTAGGGGTGTTTAGAATTGCTTATTTGAAACAACTTATGTTTTTCTACAAAAACACTTATCAACTTATTATAGGTCACAAGGGTTTAACTTCTTCAAAAACTCTTTATTAACGGTTTGACACCGATATAAGTTGTTTATCCAAACACTCAAAAATGCTTATTACCGGTACCACACCGGAATAAGTAAATAAGTTGTTTTTATAAGCAATCCCAAAAAGGACATAAGGAAAAAGTAGAACTCGTGAATTTCAAGATTCTTTGAAAGAGAAAGAAGAGGAGGAGGGCAGGGGGCGGTTATAACCAAGCTGACAACATGTATAACGAGAACATTATATAAAGTCAAAAGCATTACAAATCAAAGAGGCATATACAGTCATTTACGTCCTCTTTTCAAAAGATTAACTGCTCTTGATATTTATTATTTATTTATGCTTCTAGTATTCCAGACATCTTTCTTCCATGCTTAAATATCTCACCTCAATGAACCCTGCAAAAAGCATCATATACCACAACAACACATCAATATAACTGTGGGTGTGGTGGTGCATTCGTATTCGATGCAAGTTATAAACTTAAAGATGTCAATTTAATCTGAAAACGATTGATAAACTTTAAATATAATCGACTATTTAAACGTACTTGCTGCAATCAATGGCTGGGGTGATCTTGTAAGGGATGTTGACACCACACTTTGCAGGGAGGCTAGCAGAATTGCTGGGACTGATACCGGAGTTGGCAGCAAAAATACCCTTTATACAGCCACAAGTAGTCTTGCGGTCGGCAGTGGTTTTCGCTGCCTTATTGAGTCCCACCACCCCATTGCAACATGCGGGTGGCACTCGACCACCTTTTGTTAGGTAGCCAATGCATGGCAACAAGCTGCTGGTCACTTGACCACAGGTAATAGCCTCCGCATATGATGCAACCACCACTATGCAAGCCACCACTACACATAAAGCCCTCATTACCATCCTGGCCATTTTTCAAGAAACTAATTTTATGTGATTTGAAGTTGTTTGTGCAGAAAATGTTGTCAGTGGTTATGACATTTATAGGGTGCTTTCTCATGTCCTATTGTCGATCTCTGTAGGAATGAATTAAGAGGATGGGCTATTGGTTAGTTATAAGTTGGTTTCATATTAATTTAACTTCGAACGCCATTGATGTTAGATCTTGCCAACTATGTGCAAACAACCTAACATCGTGATTCGAGTCTGGACCTTGTTTGCACTTTATGATCATCTATTATGTCTCAAACTAGTTCAAGTAGTCCTAGCAAAGTTGAACTAGTGTAGCATTCGTTCCTGTTTTTGAAAATCAATAGTGAAAAAAGGATATTATTAAAATAAATAAAACATAAAACCGAAACTAGCTAGTCTATAATTTGAACTACATAATGACATATTAATAAAAACACCAAACCGTATAAAAAAGACGAGTGAAAAATTATCCTACTTTGAGTAACGTTCTTTTAAAACATGTATTTCATTAAGATGTGATTTTTCAAACATTAAAGTATCCGGGTAACTATGTCAACATGACAAATGATGTGATAAATAACTCTATTTTTCTGCTGACGTAGCCAACGACGTTGAATTTTTATATAATTTCTTTGTTTTAATTAAAAAAATTATAGTTCCAGTCGATCTATCAATTATATATTTTGTGGATTTTTCAGTTTTCTTCCCCATTTTCTATTATGCCGAGGTTGTTGGCATAGTCCACATTTTCATGGTTCGTCATGATGATGAACTTCCATCTCATTACGAAATCGATTTGCACGCCTCCAATCATGATGCACAGAAAGTTTCGAGTAATCTGCTTCAATTTTCCAATCCGACTCCAACCAATAATTAGTGTGAAAAAGTGGCATAAAATCCGAACGATGTTATCTGTACGTCACATTAATGTACATAGTACTCACAATGGAAAGAGGGTCATCTCTTCTATGCCGACAAGCTGTAAGAGCATGTGAACATGGAAATCTTTCCATTTACCATTTACCACATATGCACGTATGTTGAAAATAATGGACAATATGTGTATTTCCTCTGGTAGTATCATTTATCCGTAACTTTGTTACAATTAAATAGACACCTTCATCATAGTCAAACTAGGGTAAATTATGGCTTTATGCATGGGTTTCTCGTTTAACAAAAAGATGGCACATGTGTGATGGTAGAGGTGTATTGCAGTCCATTGCGATATCATTATGCTTTCTAAAAAGTTTGTTGATTCAAACTCTCTAAGTGATTTGACGATGACCCTCTTAATGTGCAATGTTTGTTCTGCTTCTGTTCAGCTCCAGCATCATCTTTGAGTCTGTTTAGTGATTGCTAAACATGTACAATAAACTTCTCAAAGAATGAGTATTTCTCAGAGACAAAACTCACACTAAAAGAACCTTCATCGATGTCGAAGAAGTAGCTGAAGATAGAAAAGTTATAGTTCGTGATCTAAAGTGGATTCAATGATAACAAGAATGTCTAAATCAAAGTGTGAAATCTAACCAAGACTCGGCAAAAACTGAAGAACCCTTCGAGATGAAGCAGTTTCAGCATTCAAATGAATCTTACTCTATAAGATTATTTGTTTCTTATCCTAGATGCACAAAAGGACAACCTCGTAGCTCACGCAGAAAGTACACATACAGAGTTACTTTATTGTCTCTAACGTGCTTACCAACTTTGTGAAAGACAACGACTCATATACGAATAAAAGCCTGCATATCTAAAGACAAAGGCCAAGCTCTCCACTAGAAGTTTGTCACATAGCTTGCACCCTTTGACATGCATTAAATGCAATGGTATAAATAGTTGAGAAGATATTTCTTCTTAGCAACGCCTTCTTCTTCTAACTCTCTTCTCTCTTGTTCTTATCTCTCTTTGTGCAATTCTTTGTGTTTCTTAGATTGTTTAGATTAGATCTTAACTTTATCTTTTTTTCGCAACAATCTATAAAATTTGATTTGATCTTTTTTAATCAATAAACGAATTTAAAAAGTGAAATTTTGTGTGTTTGCACTCAAACCCCCTTCTACAAAATGTTAGCTTTAAAACTCTTGTATATGCGCATGAGACCAACAAGTGGTATCATAACAGTGTTTATTATTTCTTTCATAAGAATACTTTTCTTACCATTTACTTTTAATGGCATTGCAAAACACAAACTATCACGATAATGACTCTCTTGCCAAACCCCCAGATATAGCAGCAACAAGTTCAGTCTCTGGAAAAATCGAATATTCTTATTTCTAGAAGACGTGGATCCTGAGATCCCTTATTATGTTGAAAAATGATCATATGTTCCATTTGCTATTCGATAAATTTCAACGGATGAGCTTAATTCGAGTTCGAGCTTAATACGAGTTTAAATTTGACAATGGGTCAAGCTTCAAACAAATTCAAGCTCGACTTCGAGTTTAGAAAAAATTTATCGAATTAGTGTTAAGTTAAGTTTCTAACTGTTCGCGAATATATATATATATATATATATATATATATATATATACTTGCAAAAATTTAAATAGAATCATATATTTGAACATAATTGTTGCAATCAATGTTTGGGCTGATCTTGTAAGCGATGCTGAGACCACACTTGCCAGGGAGGCTACCGACATTACTGGGAGTGGGATTGATGTCGGAGTTGGCAGCATAAACACCCTTTAAACAGCCACATGTAGTCTGGCGATCAACGGTTGTTTTCGCAGCATATATTAAGTCCCACCACCCCACTGCAACATGCTGGTGGCACATCTCACATGCACATATAAACAATGTTTTCATCTATTTTAGTTATTATCTTGCAAGTGAGGCCTCGACTTGCCTCCTTTCATGTCCAACCCATCCCGTACGGTAGATGAATCTTGTCAAATCATACTAGTTGCATACCATTTATTTGCAATACTCACTCATTAAAGTAAATTTCATTCTGATATGCAATATACATCTCATGCAAGTGATATATAATTCACATATGCATCATCGTCATCTTTCATATTATACATATACTTGAATATCAATTAATAATATCAAGTTATAATTTTTCTCATCATCATCATCTTTCATATCATGTATATACTTGAATATCATGTACATCAAAACAATCAAATTATCATCATATGCATATAAACATGTCATACAAATATCATGGATAAAATACTTTGTAATAATCATGTATATATCTCATAAAAATCGCATAATGTACTCACCTTGAATCATTAGCGTTCGATGGGTTATTTTTCTCGAAAACCGCAACCTACATGATAATTCATACCTTTCCTAAGTACCTTAGATAACCTTAACTAAATTGATCATTATTCTCCAACAATCTTAGTACGACTAATCCTAACATTTTTTATTGATCAACCCCCGATACCATCATATATCATATTTCGCTCAAATATTATCTTGAAATATTATTAATAATGTGACGTCGTTATAATATTAATTGTCACTCGTACATTTTACAAAAAATGTGAAATACACTTCACATTTTCTTGAACAATAAATATCTTACCAAAATAGCTAAAGTAAATAGTTTACAACATAAATAATGTTTTATGGCCAAAATGTCTCTTTTAAAATTTGCAAGTGAATAATGGTGACACCATGTCATACACATATAAATAACGGCCGTTCTATAATTGTAAAGTTCAACATAATTAATACTCGAAATAATGTTTAGAATACTAATTTTCTAAGTCTGAGGGTATTTTGGTAATTTTAAGAAGCTGAATAGCAAAGGTATAACTTTAACCGATTCCTTAATTTAGAACATTTTTTGTACATTTTATAAGTTGAATATTATAGCAATGCTTAAAAGTCCAATCTCAAAGCGTAGGGGCATTCTTGTAATTTTATAAAGCAAATACTCAAAGTATTGTTAAAATACCGATTTTTTTAATTATGAGGTCATTTTAGTAATTTCATAAGGATAATAATCATAATAAGTCTTAGATACCAATTCCCAAGATATTGGGTAATTTCAGTAATTTTATAAAACAATAATACGTAAAGTAATTGCTAAAATACCAATTTCCAAATATAGGGTCGTTTTGATAATTTTATAACAATAATAATATAAAAATAAAGCTTATAGACCACTCCCCAAGACATAGGGTTATTTCAGTAATTTTATAAAATAAATACGTAAATTATCGCTAATATACTGATTTCCAAATATAGGGTCGTTTTTGGTAATTTTATAAAAATAATAATATAAAAAAATGAAGCTTATAAACCAATCCTCGTGACATAAGGTTATTTCGGTAAATTTTAGAAAGCAAACACGTGAAGTATTGCTAAAATACCGATTTCATATTTATATGGTTATTTTGGTAATTAAACAAAATAAATAATCGAAATTGAATCAAAGTTTGCATTTTACAAGATTCATATAAAACATGAAAGTTTTAGAAAATTATTATGAAAAAATTATATTTCTGGAACTCCAGAGTCTAAGATGCGAATTTTCTGAAACTTAAATATGTAATGCATATTAATAATATTCAGGTGCAATAGATTAACAAAACTCTTGTTTTACTTAATTGGTTAAGACGTTGATTAGCATTCCTGGAGATCTCAATTTCAAGCCCCTGAGTTTGAAAATTTAATTTATTCCCCTGAGTTTGAAAATTTAATTTATTCTTTAACCAACCCATCAAATGGGTTTCCGTGTCAAATCATGCCCCGTCCGACCCGGTTGCAACTCAAATAGGTAGCAGTCATGGCTGCACGTTTTTAGCTTTTTAAGCTCGAAAATGGCTCGTTTTTTTACCTTTTTTCTTTATTCTTTTTACACCAAACCCTTGATAATATTTTTACCAACATTCTGACATAATGTACATAATTTTTCGTCAAGGAGTTCCATTTTCTCGTTTGAAGTTTTTTTAAGACTAAAATTCAACAACTTCAAAACATAAAAATCAAACCATGTAAAAACAAATCTGAGACATGAGCCTATTGGGGTTTGATAT